TGAATAATTTGTCTTTCTGCATACAAATCTCACGTTCTCTACAAGCAAAGACTGAAAGGTGTTTTCCAATTTTAATTTACCTTATTATTTACAGATATAATGCTTTTCTTATTTGAGTTAAAAAAATGAACTACCAAAGCTCTTCGTTTTTTGTCTCTGTGTATGGAGGGATAAAGTATATTTCTTAGCATTTTTCCAGTAGTTGACTTTAAAATTTTTCTCTCATAGTTGAACAAAAAGTAATTATAAGTAATTATAATACTTACTAAGACAATGGCAGCTCTTAGAAATATAGCCCTATAAAAATTAGAAAAATTATGAAACTTCCTGAAAATAATTAGAAGCATTGGGCTGAAATAGGCTTTGAGTGATTCAATAAATGTGCATAAAATCATACCCAGAATACAGATACTGCAAATGACTCAAAATATTAGCACTGTCTCCTAGACTTTAATTCTTATGGGCAGATTTTTAAAAATTAAGTCATATGAATTTGAATAAAAAAAGCAAGAAATTATTTGGTCTATCAAATCATAAAATAAAGAGGTTCACTGATAGTTTGTGAGGAGTTAAACTTTCAAGTAGGGCTATTATAGAGAAATGGTAAAACTTAACTAAAAATATCAGCGCTTCTAGGAGGAGCTAATTCTATGCCTTCGGAAGAGATATTTCAAGATTAAGCTAGAAACTTTTGTTGCCAGAAAGCAAGTATGCTTTGAAATGTTCTGATGTGGTGTTGACAGGACTCAGAAGCCAACTTAAAAAGAGCTTTCATTGGCCAAGCTGTGACAATTTGAGCATAGAAAAAGATAAAAATCAAACTGATTAAAACAGCAGAGCCTAGAAGAAGCCATTATTCATAATTATGCTTAAAAGAAAATAGGACTTTATTTTCTCTTCATACAAATGGTACTATATTCAGGTTAATTTCTTTAAAGGAAAATAATATTTTTCAAGTTTAAATATGTAAATATGTATATATATAATTTTTAGGATGGATAAGATGATATCCATACACAAAGGATAATGATCACCACCATCGTTGTGGTATTTTTTGGAATCTACTTTGCTCACCATTGTGTGCTTTTTGATCTCCTTTCAGGGATCATTTGTTTTCTTCTAGAAGTATATTTTAGGTGCTTTTATTTAGGATGTCTTAATGGGGGAATCTGTTTTCATCTAATAACTTACTTGTTTTGCCCTCATTCTTGAATGATAATCTAGTTGGATATACAAATCCAGATTGACTTTTGAATATATTTTTGAATACATTTTCTTTTCTTTTTTTATTTTTAAGATTTTATTTATTTGACAGAGAGAGACACAGCGAGAGAGGGCACACAAGCAGAGGGAGTGGGAGAGGGAGAAGCAGGCTTCCTGCCAAGAAGAGAGCCTGATGTGGGGCTTGATCCCAGGACCCTGGGACCATGACCTGAGCCAAAGGCAGATGCTTAAGGACTGAGCCACCTGGGCCCCCCATTGAATACATTTTCTCAACATTTTTCTGGCTCCCATTGTAACTACAGATTTGTTTTTAGTTGAATTATTATACTTAAGGATTTTCTTTTACCTGTGAATGCTTTTAAGTTCTTTGTTCTTTATATGCTAACAGTGACTTTGTGTTTTTTTGTTTTCTATCTTCAGAGCTCAGAATAGTGGCTGATAGTACTTACTCAATAAATAATTTTTGAATGAACAACTTAAAAGTTTTCTGTAGTTTGAATCTAACCTTAGTCATGGAGTTCTTGGATGAGTAAAATGAGACAAAGGGCCTGAAGAATATAGTATGGTACCTGGCACATAATTACTACTCAATAAATGCTAGCTTCCATTTTTATTGAGAGAAAAAGATTATTAATCTCTGTAATAGGAAGAAAAGGAGCTATTACTCTGTGAGCCTGCGTTCTAGAGAGTAGGCAACACACACGTGCACACATCATATCTTCTCATCCTATTTCCAAGTTTAAATACAAACATTGATTTCATTTCTTATTTTCCCCCACTTTGGCTCCACAAAAAGTGTGTGAGTAGTGAGATTTACAACAAAAATATTTACAAAACAAAAAGAGTTACCTCTCCAGTTCTGTTTGATGGTGCTGCAAGTATGAAACAAGGATTGCTTGTTTAAGAGTGGGATGTAGTCTTTACAAGCTGAAGGGAAGTTTATCCTGTTAAAAGGCCATTTTGATGAAATGTGAAAGCATTAGACCAATTTTTGAAATAAATTGTGAATGAAAGGGTTAAAAATAGTAACTTCCAGGGTAAAGGTGATATTCTTGGGCCATGTCATTATAGGTATTTTTTCCTGCAATGTCTTTATAGAAGGGTTCTGTTCTATGTATACCAAGATTTCTAAACTTCTCTCTGAATATGTTCAAAGAAGTGAATAGAAATTTCTTTAATTATGTTCCAAATCCATCAAATAATTCCATTTGAGATTTCTGAGGAGATTCTATGCCCATATTTTCATTCATCTAATTTTTTTTAGGATATGGTTATTCAAAACTTCTATTTGGACAGAATTCATTATTTTAGATCAAGTATTTTTAATACATGATTCTAAAGTCACACATTCAATAAAAGTCATCATCAAATTAAATATTTGACCAAATTGTCTTTATTTACTTTGCTAAAATTATACTTTGCTTAAATGTATAAAGCCTACTTTCTGATAACATCTTATATATGATGAAATTCAGTGTTCTGTGGTTTCCACTTGGGCATATTCAACCAGATTGGGTTACCAGCATTACTAGAAAGACTCTGTAATGTTTTATAAGATGGTCCGTTGGCTTGGAACTTCCGAGTGAGTGAGGTATTGATTGGAGATCAAAGCATGCTTAACATAGTCCCTCAAACTGCTCAAAAAATACCTGCCGAATGAAAATCTTTCAACCCTGGAGTGGGGAAAATGATATTTAACAAATGTGAGTACTTTTTTGCATGTGGCAGAGAATTTCAAAAATATCATTTGGTCCTATGTACATATTCCAGTTTGATGCATGTGTATTACATTTTGTTTCTTTCAAGAAGAACTGAAGAACTGACCCTACCTTGGGGTGAATGGTAACAGCTCCAAACAAATGTAGCAGCCCATTGCTGTGCTTCCCTTTCCCCTCTCCCACATGTAACATGTCTGGCTTTACAGTCCCTTCTTTATAAAGCTGCAAATCTAAATGCCCAGATCAGTTTATGGCTTCTTTTTTTCATCTAGCAGAAACAAAAAAAGTGTCAAGAGAGTGGAAGAAATTTCTTTTCCCAAGCATCCCGGTGAATATATGTTCTTTTGAAAGTAGAGAGGAAATTAGACTGGGGCTGAACCATTTTTCTTTTTTTCTTTTTGAAAGCTCTCTGTTGTTTGATGTCCATGATGATCATTTAGACTACTCCAGAAGCTCCTGGAATAATATTCTTACTTAGCAGAGCCTGGAGATTTTTTAAATTTGAAAAAACACAAAGCTCAGAAAGATAAATTTTGTTTCTGTAGTCTTTGTTTATAGTTTGTATTTGGTGAGACTTACCTATAATACATTGCATCTAGGCAGTGTAGCCGTTGCATCCTATACCAAATTAAAGAAGAATGTTTAAGCCTGCCAGATGTTGTTTTCATTAAATTATTGATATTTATATTTATCCAAAGGTAGCTGAAAATTATCTCATAGGTTCCTGTCAGCTCTACAACTCAATTTCCCAAATGATTTCACCTTAAATCTATAGCACTTAAGAGAATTTCTAAATTATCACTTGAGAAATAATTTTTACATTTATTTTTAGGAGGTAAGTTATATGAATTAATAAGTGGGTCATGGATTTATACAGCTGTTGGTTGGAAATGAGAAACACTGTATGTTTTAATACTTGAAGTGACCTACTAAGAAATGGTATCATTAATTGGTTTCATGCATGGACTTTACTTACAGATATGGAGAAATTATGCTACCGTGGGTTGAGATCCTGGCTTGGTATATCAGTTAGCTTGTTTTGATCGCAAAAACCCAAATATTGGCTAACTTAAAAAAATATATTGACAAACTCAAGATATAACAAATCTGAAGATTGGAGAATCATATCCTGACATAGGCAGCAACTGTAGTTTGGGGCGAGTTAAAGAAGCAAGAACTACAGGAAATTTCTCAAAATAGGAATAGTCAGATCAAGATGCCGCTTCTGATTGAATGGGACCTCACCATTTTTTAAAGCTTCATACTACTTCCTCAAGGGTCAAAGTCCCAGGAAAGAGTGGCTACATTTTGTCCCCCTTCCAGTACCAGTCTAGTGGAAGGAAGAATCTAGCCCTTCAACTTTTGTAATGGAAGTCAACTATTTCCTACCTATGAAGACTATTATTTTTTTTAAAGATTTTTTTATTTATTTGACAGAGAGAGACACAGTGAGAGAGGGAACACAAGCAGGGGGAGTGGGAGATGGAGAAGCAGGCTTCCCGCGGAGCAGGGAGCCTGATGTAGGGCTTGATCTGAGGACTGTGGGATCATGACCTGAGCCGAAGGCAGACGGTTAATGACTGAGCCACCCAGGCACCTCTATGAAGACTATTCTTAACGAATGAGATACAATTTCCTATAAGGAAGTTGGAATGCTGTGGGAAAGAGACGATGCTGGGGACCAAGAAATAACATGTGCATTATGCTTGGGTACTTACTAATGATATAAACTCTCTTAGCCTCAGTTTCCTTATCTGTAAAATAATGACTATAATTCCTACCTTACTGGATTACTCTGAGTATAAGATCAGGTAATACATAGAAAATTCCGGGTACGTAGTATTCACTCAATAAATATTGGTTTTCACTATCATTATTTTGTACTTTTGGTGGTTCTTCCACATACATTTGCTTCTTTAAATCTTCACAATATCTTGTCGGGTCACTGCAATAAATTTTATTACCTTTGTTTTATGGATAAGAAACTTGGACTTAGGAGGCATTGCCCAAAGCCTAAAGCCTGGTGGTGTTCCAAATACCCTGTGTTTTCTTCTACAGAGTCCAGCACATTATTGCAGTATCATCAATTTGGAAAAAAAGATGAGGGAACACCACCGAGCTAGAGTTTTCTTTCTGAGAAAAAGAGCTTGGTGAAATTCAGAGCCAACTCTTTCAGCAAGAGGATTGTTTGTTCACTGCTTGGCTGCAGGTTAGTTTGGCCATTGTGTCTATTTCCTGGAAGCAGTGTTCTGAGAGTGAAATCCTGATGCACATTCACAGGATGGTATCAACGTGGCTTTCAATCCTGTGATTTTATGGTTTCATTACAAAGATACCCAGGTTTGTAAAACTATGCTTTGAAAATACAGCTGTTAGCCTGTTAAAATGTGAGAGTACAGAAAAGTAACCTGTCACACACCGTGGAATTTTCCAAAGCAGTTCACGGCTGTGCATGTGGGCAGATCTGCATCTGTCTTTCCTTTCAGTTTGACACCTGGACACCTACGCATAAGAGTGGGACAGGCTGTTTGATAACAAGCATAGTTTTGGGGCTTGATAGTTTTACTGTCTCTGCAAGGTGACATCTGTCAGGTGCCTTACCCAGTCTAGGAAGCTGTTTCCAGAAACCATGAGGAAGCTAGCATTTTCCAGCTTCCTATCTCTAGGGTCCCTCTTCCTTTCCTGCTGTCTCTGGGATGAGAAAGCAGAAGTATGCTGGTAATAGTAAACAAAATCCCAATTCCCTAATGCTAAGACAATGAGCAGAAAGGGACCAGAAATCTGGAGAAAGTATTTAGTTTTATTGGGGACCTATTGACTGATTTCTTGATGGTCTTTCTTATTTCTTTTTCACTTAAAGCGAGATTTTGAAAACCACCCATGTTGTAAATTTCCCACTCTGGCCTGCTTGGTGTTCCTCATTCTCTTTATTACTTGTGCTTTGCTGCCTTGTATTCGAGTTCTTATAGGTTAGGCCTGTGCCTCCTGTGAGACTGTGAACTTGGTGAGAATTGGAGACTGTAGCTCATCCATTGTTTTGCATCCTTTATTGCTTCTCAAAGCACCAGCAGCATTGGCATCACCTGGGAGCTTGTTAGAAATGTAGACTATCCAACTTTGCTCCTGACTTACTGAGTCAGAACCTTCATTTTAACAAGATCCCAGATGCTTCATATACACGTTATAAATTGGGCAACGTTGCTTTTTAACACTTTTTATACATGTTAAATAATAGGAAAGATAATAAACATATGAAGCAGGTAATTATATATCACTTATAGAACCCCCTCCTTAGAATTCTGTAGTAACTTCAGAATCCTAGAAGCCATGAACACTTGATACTTCTGAATAGAGATGAAGTTGGCAGTTTCAGAATCTACTTGCCCAACTCAAAAAAAAAAAAATTGAAATAAGTGATCATGCAGTGAGCAGGGATGGAAGAACAGAGTCACTGCACATCAAATTTGGTTCGGTGCTCCAGCCAAGGACAGTCCCTACTGCCTACAGATGATTGCCATGGTGAGCTTCAAGGAGAAGTAGGAGTTCTAAGGCACTACATCTGTTTTCCTCTCATTTCCTCTGATCTCAGCTCGCTCACTTTTAGCTATTTCATTTGTTGATGTTTCTGCTCATACTTTATTTAGAAAAAAAGGGTCACCTCAAAATATGTACACAAAAAATAAACACTAAACAGTCACTACCTTAAATCCAAAAAGCAAAGTTTGAAAACCACTTTGCTAGATTGCCAGTGGTCCTTTCTCTGGTCCTCAAATTCCCTGTGTCAAAAGCTAACATTGTGTTTAGCCACAGAGTTCATATTGAGGTGATTATGATTGTATAAACTCAAAGTTCTGTTCCAAGAAGTTATTTTAGTTGAGTTTTCTCTTCAATATTTAATGATTACAATGATTACATGCTCTGTGGCAAGGGCTGTGGTTGGAGCTGGATATATAAAGATGAGTATGACACAGTATCTGCTTTTGAGGAAATTTTAGGCTGGTGGGCTGGACGGACACATAAATAGATCACTTCAAGAGACTAAGTGTTTGATCAAGGATGCTCAGGGTGCTTTGGGTCTCAGGAGAGGGGCATTGTGTGATTGGAGAAGAGTCAGGATCAAAATTGTATTTTGAATGTGGAGTGAGAGGTAGGTGAAGAAAGGAATGTTGGAAATGCATTCCAGGTAGAAGTTGCAGTGAGACTAAAAATGCTGATGTGTGAAACCGCTATGATGCATTTCATTGTCTAGAAATTTACAGCAGGGGTTATTAGGAGGATGCATGTTATTATTTGCATCATAAGAAGCAGTAATAAAGTACTTATATTCCCCATATACTCTCAAGTTTCTTCTTGGTAAGGGGAATGCTTTACAGTAAAAATTAAACTCCTTGAGGGTTAACATGTTTTTTTTTCTCCTGTTGAACTCATAACATTTAAACACATAGTAGGGACTCAAGAACTATTTGTTGAATAAACAAATGCATGAACTAATTTATTAATTTGAAAGGGAGTAGACTGAGTTTTTCTTAGCAATGTCTTAGTTACCTAGACTCTGTCATTGATAAAGATAATGAAAACTAGAGGGAATAATGCCTCTAAGAACATGGAAGTTAATGACAACCAAAGGTGGGAAATCCTGCTGGTCAGAGGACTCATCCTCTATTAGGCAAGGTGAGGGAGTTGGGCGGGGAGGGGGGGGATGCATAAGATTTGAATTGAAAACAAAATATAAAATATCACTGGAGATTTTAAGAAATCCTCAGTGATGTTTGAAAAATATATACAATAATTTAATATGTTTATTGATAAAATCTAAGCAACTACAAAGATATGGTAATAAACCAAATAGCAGGCCCATGTCGGACCCCAAATAGATTTACTGTGAAGCAAACAAAGCTTTGCTTCAGGGCTCCTTACTTGGTTTAGGGGGGATCCTCCTATGACATTTACATTGTTATATGTTTTAGGGACATTTGCAAGAGTAAGTTATTTTTACCACAATTAGGGAGGACTGCTAGCTCTTGCTAGGTGAACTTAAAACACTGTAAAGGGATTAATAAATAGGACTATACTTGGTTCCTTTCTCCCTGCTTGAGTTAGTTTTGACCTTAGCCAGACCCTTTTGTTATCAAATTAATGGAATTTACTAATTAGAAGGCAATTGAAGATCTTCCAGATAGTGCTATATCCCGATTTCTTATCTAAGGAATCTTTATAGCAGGATATACCTGGTGTGTCTTGATTATTTATTATAAATTAGTCTTCACTTCATGGCTTTATGAGCCATAGCTGGATTGAAAAGTGGAAGTTAATTGTATAGTGTTTCTTGCTACATGACTAGAGAGTATAAAGATTGAGAGACCCACAAAACTAAGAGGCTTCCTTGGGCCATTTTGTATTGGCCATAGTGCTTGTCATGCTGAATCCAAATGCATGCCAATGTGGAAAAGGGATTTAGAAAGATGTGTTCCGATGTGATATGACTCCTTTCTTGTAAACTTGAGTAATTATTAATAAAGCCTGGTGCTGGGTAGGACTTGGTTTTTGTGAGTCCGATTGATGATTCAATGCACTATGTTAGTAGAAACACATTATAATAGTTGCCTGTGGAGTATGGGGAAAGAACTAAGAAGAAGATAAAAATAAATAGGTAAATATTAGTAAATAATATAAATAAGACAAAACCTTAGTAAGACAAATAATGATAATATGTTATGAACTGAGGAGGTGATTTAGTGAACTCTCATCAGTGAAGGTCCAAGAAAAAGATATAAACAGTAGAAAGGTATAGAAGTGAAAGTCCCTTCTATGTCCCTTGCAATAGGTAAGAATTTAGTTTTTATCCTTTTATATGCATGTATATCATATGATATTTTTAATGTTTTTACATATGTACCATATATGTTATATATATACACAAAAATATATATACATATAAATACATATCTTTTTATAGCATTTCTTGGGAATTTATATAGATGCATTCTCATTGTTAAACTATGTAAAAATAGAAAGTTTATATATATGGAATATTTGGATTGTTGCACTTAAGCACCTACTTTCATCTCCCCCCACTGAATGTTCTAAATCCTCAGGACTTGTGGAAATGATCCACTTTTCCTCATTGGAATAGAAAGGCCTTCCTCTTCCTTGAAGACTATGCAGAGACTTCAAATAAGGCAAATGCCCTTAAGAACGATGCTTGCACTCCTTAAGACCTGTCCCGATCTGTCACCAGACTCATCTAAGATAAGATCTCAGTAAACCTGTGGGAAAATGCAGATGCTAGGAAAAGGGAGAGATTGCACACAAAGCAGCAGTAGGATGGCCTAACACATGCCAGCAGGAACTGTGGGAGTTGATCTAGGTGTAGCTCCTGAATGTGCTTGGGGACTTTGTCTAGGAGTGGACCAAGCAATTGTGGGATATAACTTTGGATAAGGAAAAGTTTGGTAATGGCCCTAGGATGAGAATTGCAATAGTGCAGGAAGCACCAGCATCTCTGAGAAACTCAGTAACAGCTCTCCTCTGTAGTCCAGGGCTGATGGTAGGAGATGCTCCAAGACTGGGCTCCCCAATGACAGTAGAGAGGATAGAATCCCAGAATAACAGAGGCCAGATGACAGCATTTAACTATCAGAAACTAAGTGGGAATAATAACTGTAATTGGCAGTAAATTAGGAATGAGGGTCAGCTAGACCTGACCCAGGAAGGCAGGGCTACTTCATGGATGTGTGAGTTGTGCTTAAATGGGCTCCCAGCTTTGTTTAATGCTATGCTGTCACCATCTTGAATTTCATTGTAATTCTTTAATTCCTTAACAAAGAGCCCCACATTTCATTTTTCACTGGGTCCCATAAATTATGAAGTCACAGGGATTTTATAGGAGTCTGTGGGAATGGTCCATAGAACATGGTATTCCTAGGGGCAAGATAAAGGGGTAGCCAAAAAGGGGTATTGCATAAAATATGTAATTAGAAGAGATCAAGAAAGGATGGATAGAAGACTTTAATGGAAAGTCATGATCTCTTACCCAGATTTTAGACCATAGTGATTTATCATCCCTAGAACTTATCAGTTGGTTGGAGAGACCAAATTCCCGTCATGAAAGGCTTTTTAATGCCATAGCAAGTATATACAGTAGTGAGTCCCTTAGTCCTTTCTCAGAGGAATTTATCATCATTTACTTGAGTAACTAAACATTGGGGT